GTGTGTGTGTGTGTGTGTGTGTGTGTGTGTGTGAGTGCGTGTGCGTGTAGTACAGTGTATTGGTTGATTAATGTGGCTCCTCCCACTTTTGTTGTAAAAAGTTGAGGATGTATGTTGTCGGTTGCCTTAATTGGATGTGTTATTGTTTATTTTTGTTAATTTTCTGACCATGTATTTGGACACGCATGTCCTGTTGCATTCACCACAGTGGGCTGCAGCACCCTCACCACCCCTGCTTCTTACAGCCTTGTTGATGAGGATATTCTCTCTTGTGTTTTTCGCTGTTAAAGAAACAAAGCTCACGTCATGAGTTTGTTTTTTAAAGTCGTCGTTGTAAGTCTGGATCAAGTCATGAGGAAACTTTCACCACGTGGCCCACTTTGACCCGCCCCACATGACGCCTCCTGCTGCTCACTTCCTGTCTGCAACATCCTGAGGGCTGCTTGTCATTAATCTGCTCTTTCCCTTCGCTGCTCATAAATGTTAGCGGCTCTGTTTGCAGAGTTTGTTTAGGCCACAATCAGATGAGGAAAGTGGAGAAATTTGACTCTGAAACAGGAGAAAACTGAAAGAAAGAAACTTGATGCGTCGACACAAATCATCACGTACAGCAGATCAAACTCTAAATCTTCTACATTCGGTTTTTCTTTTTTTACATCGGCCTCAGATACTGTCCAGCTACAGCTACAGCTACAGTGCTGCCGCTGGCCTCAAACTGGATTCCTCAGCTGTTTCTGTTTAACTCACAGACAAGAAAGGAGAGGCGGTAAAAACCACAAGAGAGGCAGAAAGAAAGAAAGAGAGGAGCGAGAGCTGATGAGAAGGACCCCTACTGGTTCTGAGAAAAGCAGCAAAAACAAATTTATTTAAAAAAAAAACCCACGTTGATGCTCTGATTGTTTTATAAAAGTTGTTTTTTAACAATAACTCTCTCCAACAGCTCAAATAAACATTTCATTCATATTTTCATGATAACGTTGGAGCCACGAAGCAGCCGAAGCTTTCAGAGCGATTACACGTTCTGTGAAAACAGTGTGAACGATTTATTAACCTTTATCTTATCAGACAAATCCCAATGAAATCACAGATTAGTTTGGCAAGAGGAGCACCTGAAGAATGATCAGCTGAAGAAGCTAAAACTGAGTTGCTAAAGCTAAAGGAGCCAGAATATAGGCTGAATAAACCAGAACAGCTAAAACTAAAAACAATGTTAAATTTAGCAAAGCTAAAATGAGCAAAACATTTCTTAATATGGGCAAAACTGTAGCTAAACGTAGCAGAAATGCAAAAGCTTAAATTAGCAAAAAAAAGCTAAAATTACCTAGACTGTAGCTAAAAGCTAATAAGGTCAGAGTGGTGGTTAAAGGCTAAAAAAAAACAATAGAATGAAAGCTAAAAGATAGCTAAAAAGATCAAATTAACTAAAATGTAGCTAAAAGTAGCAAAATGCTAAAGCTTAAATTAGCAAAAATAAAGCTAAAAATACTGAGACTGTGGCTGAAAGCTAATGAGATCAGAATGCTATAAGAGCTTAAGAAAAAGTTAATGAGGTCAGAATGGTACATAAAAGCTAAAAAACAATAGAAAGAAAGCTAAAAGGTAGCTAAAAATATATAAAACTGGCCAAAATGTAGCTACAGGTAGCAAAAATTCGGAAAAGGTAGCTAAAATTACTGAGACTGTGGCTATAAGCTAATAAAGTCAGAATAGTACAAAAAATCTAAAAATAAAAAGTAGAATTAAGGCTAAAAGGTAGACAAAAAAGTAATAAAATTAGCTAAAATGTAGCTGTCCTGATTTGAGCTGCTGTAATGTGCAAATTTCCCCACAGTGGGATCAATAAAGTTTTATCTTATCTTATCTTAAAAGTAGCAAAAACGTTAAAGCGAAAATTAGCAAAAAAAAAAAACAAAAACTAAAATTACTGAGACTGTGGCTAAAATATAGTAAGGTCAGAATGCTATAAAAGCTAAAAAAAGCTAATGAGGTCTGAATGGTATAAAGCTAAAAAAAAACAATAGAAAGAAAGCTAAATGGTAGCTAAAAAGATAAACATTGGCCGAAATATAGCTAAAAGTAGTAAAAATGGTAAAGCGTAAATTAGGAAAAAGTATAAAATTGACTGAGACTGTGGCTATAAGCTAATAAAGTCAGAATAGTACATAAAATCTAAAAGAAATAGTAGAGTAATGTAAGTCTAAAAGTTAGCCAAAAGAATAATAAAATTAGCTAAAATGTAGCCAAAAGTAGCATAAATGTTAAAGCATAAATTAGCAAAAAAAAGTAGCTAAAATTACTGAAAAAGATTTTAAAAACTGAAATATTTAGAAAAGTACCAAAGTCACAACAAATAAAATCTCATTTATCTGAATGATTTGATATTTAAAGTTTAGTATTTAGTAAAACTACACAATCTATATAGAAAGCTAAATATAAACTATTAATATTTTTATGAAAATATCCAAAAATACTTGATTCTTCAGGAAGACCTGAAGAAGAAAACTATTCGAATAAAACCTCTTTTTTTAGGATTTTTATGTAGAGAATTATTTGATTTGAGAAATCTCAAAAGGTCACAGAATAAACATCTAGAATTAACTTTTAGATTCAATCCAGTTCAAGATGGCTGCCACTGGTCATCCCCATTATCCACTGCAGAGATGGCTGTAACTCTCAGTTTCACTGTGTGGGAGTAACAACACACTAATTGTGACAACTTGTGATATAACTGAAGATTGTGCTTCATGTATTTAAGGTTTGACTCAAATCCATTCAGCTTTTATTTTAGTTTTAAACTCAGGTGTTGAAAGCGGCGGGCAGTATGCATGGTTTTTATTAGAAATGCCAGGYCTTTAAATCCTAAGAGCTGACAAAGACAATAAAACTGAAGAAGTAAGACGACCTGAGGATTAACGAGCAGTGAAAAAACCTCACATTTAACATGTCCTGCACTGCTTTGTGCCAACGTGTCCAACAGCTGAGTGATGAGGAACATCTGCCTGAGAAGATTCCGCTCACGTTTCGTACTCGCAGTGCGTCGCCTCACATGATTTCACAAAGCGTGACGAGTCCGAGGCGTGTTTTTCACCCAGCTGTCTGCACGTGTCACACGCTGAGGAGACGACCTGGAGCTGACGGGCAGCTGCTGCCAGGAAAATACCAGAGCTTTCCAAACTCCACATCTATACAGACTGGCTTTAGACCTGTTGTTCTGCTGTCCCCCTGTCCTCGTGTCCCCCTGTCCTCGTGTCCCCCTGTCCTCGTGTCCCCCTGTCCTCGTGTCCCCCTGTCCTCGTGTCCCCCTGTCCTCATGTCCTCGATGTTCTAAAGCAGCCACGCCCCACAGAGCTGCTGCCAGTCAACAAGTTACCACAAGAAACTTAAAGCGCTCTGAGGGCTGCAGAGATATGAGCTCATATCTCCTCATAAGAACCTAAAAAACAACTCCTGCAGCAGTTTTAGTAAAAATCATTAAAATATAAAACAGCAAATACWTTTCTTTTAGATTTTATTAATAATTACTAATATTAACAATAATGYCCTCACTTTAACGTTTACTTGTAGCTGCGTGGTGGGGCAGTGGTATGGGGTGCTGTTTGTAAAGTTCACACAGTCAAACATTACCACCAATATTTTTGTTTTATTTATCATTTTATAAGAAAAAAAAGAACAGATTTATTTTTCAAAGTCAG